ATAAAATTATAAAATACTATACAATTTGAGATTTTTTTATAGAAATAATAGGTATAATAATAATAAATATAAATACATGTTTGTTTATTACAGGGTTTCTATTGGTTATACAATTTTTTATGGATGAATAACAAATAAGCAATTTTTTTTAGGTACCAATTTTAAAAATAGTTTTACCTTTATAACAAAGCTAAAAATGTGAGAAAATATTATAATTKAATTTAATTTTAGTCCTGTATATGACTGTTAAAAATCATTGATGGAGATTAAGATAGGATAAATCCATGGGAAATTTTGAACGTGACTAGTGGAGGGGGGATTACATGATGAATTATACACACATTTTGAATCATAAAGATTTGTTATTTGTAATGGGCAACAAAGTGTACGGGGATCAGCTATAGTATATTCATCATCTATGATTAAAAATATCCAATAAACTGCATACTATATTGATTACGAATACATTTTTTATGGTTTAGAAACGGAATGTTGATGACCTATTTTTTAAAGTAAAAAAGCAGAAAGAAGATATTTTAAGATTTGAAAACTGTGTACAAGATGATATAGTGAGTTTATAATTTTAAATTTAAATTTATAGTTATTCTACTTTTTTTTATGTGCTTTAGGTATCAACATTTAAAAAATGTGAAAAATCTAAATTTCCTAATTTTGAAAACTCTATTCAGATGGACCCAAACAGCTACTGGGATATGACTATCAAGTCTTTGGCAGCACCCAATAACAAAAAAAGCGAATTGGAGTCATTTAGTTTTGTTTCCTCAAAAAACAATAAGAACTCTAACAACGAGCCACAATTGAAGATACTCATGCAAACTGAAGTATATGGTAAAATAGACAATGATGCATTTGCTCAAGATCATTTTACCGAATTCATACCTATTATGCCTCCGCCTAGAAAGTACTGTGTATAACTTTTTTTTAAATAAATTAATAACTAAGATAAAGTAAATAATAACAAAAAGTAATTAAATTTGTAAGATAAATTAATTAACTACAAATCATAGGTTTGAATACAATCTACCAATCATTTTTTTTTTTTTTTTTTTTTTTG